AAGGGAAGGGAAGAGAAGGGAAGAAAAGGGAAGAGAAGGCAAGGCAAGGGACAATCCTCCTGTGCAAATGAAGCAACAAATGTACACCCAGGCACCAAACATCAGAAACACCTCAAATGGCAAAAACAGGATGTAGATGAAGAAATCACTTCAGCCGCTAAACAGATCTCTGCAGAAATAACTGGTTTGAGTACAAAAAGTAACTGTATATTGGGAGAGCTATTAAGGTTTAAAGAGCATAGATCAACATCCAGGAACAATCATGTTACCTGTCTGAAGAAGGGAAGGTTTCTATGGTGTTTTACTAATATATCCTATATATTTTGGCTTCTGCATTTTAAGTTTGTATTTGGAGAAGGCCTATTTTTTGCAAGATCACTAAAGCAAAGAAGAAAATATTACTATTTTCTAGTAAGATTTAATTTTATATATTCATCAGAATAAATACAACACAAGCCTCTCCTTTTCTGGAAAGATATCCCTTCTTCCCAGTTGCTAGTTCTTGCTGAGCAAATTGCATTAAAATTACACTAATAAAAAGTGAATATTAGAGATTATACTAACACAGAAGAGTTTCCCTAGAAGAATGAGCTAAGGATATGCTATCTATCCAGAAAAACCTGTACTGCATAGACTTGTTCTCAGAAGAGTAGCGGTTAACAGCAGAAGCTTCAGAGAACCTCACCTTTCCATCTGAACTGAACGGTTGACACATCTGGGAATAGGGAGACAAGGATAAAAGGAAGATAGGAGTTGAAGATGACCACCAAGAATATGGAAATTAGGGCAGAGTGACATGGAAAGAAGAAGCAGGCATAGAAATTTCAACTTGTACTTCATTGTGGAGAATGGGCAAAAATAGACCAAGCTCCTCACTTTGAGTTAAGAAGAGACATGGAAAAGAAAAGCTCTCAGGCTTCATAGTAGAGAGGCAAATGAGGCTGTACTCCTTCCTGTAAGTGCCATAGGGGAATACGAAAGGATGTTCACCACAGAAAGCAATGACATGCAAAATCTACATAGAGACACAGGTGTTTTGGGACTGAAGGACAGGGCATGTAACAACAGTATTAGATCAGTATCCAGACTTGCAGGCACGTGGCTGAACTGGAGATCTTTCTGAGGTTCAGATTCTTCAATATAAGCACTATTGGGATTTTCTGGCAGAAAACTGACCCAAAGGAACAGAGTAAACATTGACAATTTGATAGTTACACGGCAGACCAAGTTAATACTTAAGTTACCTATGGCCTTTGAAAAAGTATGATTATTTTTACATCAAAGTAGCACTAAGCAGAATTAAGTTTGTAATTTTCTTGGAGTCTCTGGTACTCAGGTTCTCTGGTTCCCACACTGGTAGCACACTGAGTAGAAATGTTTTCAGTTAGTATGCTGCATTTTGGCTGGGATTGATTTACTGATGATCAAAATATGTCCTTTTAAAACCAATAATTAATTTTAGGGTTTTTTAATTACTATTTTTTAATAAGATTAGAAATGCTTCAAAATGTTGTTTTTTTATACTATTTATAATTCTACAGTAGGATTACAGTTCTGAAGTGTAACTGTTAGAAAAATCTATAATAAAGAGTATATAAGGAAAACTGATAAGGAAAAGTCCCTGGGTAAGATAAAACTGGATTTAACTTTTATTATGAATGTTTTAATATTAGTAGCTGTTGCTGGGTGGGCTGTTATTTTTTCCCATCATAGTTAAGTTTACTCATCAATATAGTGTCCTAAATGCTTTAAAAATCGGTTATTTTTAACGAAAAAAAGTGAAATTTGATTTCACCAAAATTTCAATGTTGGAAAAGTTTAGATTCTCGCTAGATATTAATTTCTTCAGAGACCCTTAAAGCTCTTCTTTTTTTTGCCAGCAGGAGTAACTGCAAATTAAAGCTGAAGAAATTCTTCTGTTATTTGGACATTATTGACCAGGTTGTGTAACTGCTTTAGTCTGCTGATAAACTATGCACGCAGACTCTTATGTTTCTACTTGAGATTTGGATGAAAGTGGGGTATTGTACAGTCTGCAGGGTAAACCTGAGCAAGAAGCCTGACAGAAGAAAACCATGGGTGGTAAGGAATAATTAGGCTGACCCTTGAACAATTTAATTGCAAGCTGCAACATTATTATTCTGGGAACCAGGAAATGCGAGTGATGAAATTTATGGAGCCACAACTACCAAAAGGCAATACAGTGGGCATAACTGTTAAGCAAAACAAACTTTTCTCTATCCTTTTCTAATTCTCATATTATTTTGATTACAAACATTATCTGAATTATATTATTCATGAATATCATTTGAAGTGTCTACTATTTTTTATTTTAGTTGGGGCTTAAAAAGAATCAGTGCTAGCAAAATTCCAGTTCTGAAGCTGCATTATACATAACTTGTGTGCATTATACAATGCACAAAAGGAGATCAGGGATTAGTAAAATGCAATATAAAGACTTTACCACCACATACGCACTATTTGCTACATAAGCTATGCATGGCAAAGCCATAGAAGTATGAAATCTTTCCAAAGTATGCAGTCCAGAAATAAGATCCCTATTCCTCTACCACACTATCAACTGTTCTCTATACCCCACGCATTTTTTTCAGAAAGTTCGCAGAGGTTGAAGTCTTTGTGGATGACTGGAAACAACTACATTGAAAACCAGAACAAGGAATAAAAGATGAAGAAGAGATGGGAGCAGCACAGATTGGTAGGGACAGGACAGAAGGGATCTCAGCTTGGGATAGCAAAAAATGTGTATACATTTCTTTCTACAGCCTGGGGCAGGAGCCAAGGTTACTGATTCTCCATACTCTTCTGCTGTCAGCAAATACTTATGAAACACACCAGCAACATTTCCCACCTCCTCCTGGTGCCATTCCATGCAAAGTGTGATACCTTCTACTGTTGTTTGCTATTGCAGCAGTTCAGGTGACCTATATAATGGATATCAGAAGTTCCCATGATGTTAGGGGCCTGACTGAGAGCCAATAGGATCCCACATTATGGAATTTCTGCTTCTTCTCAGCTTGCTTTTTTTTAAAAGGAAGGAAATTATACCCCAAATCTCACATACAGAAATAGAACAGATGTAAACAAAGTACTTCACCGTTTAAAAATTCCAAAGTCAAAATCGCTTATATAGCTTTAGTTTAGCTGTTTTGAGCATATGCATTATCATTTACATGATCACATCTTCTTCCATCTTAGGCAGAGAACAAGAGCATAAGTCAGAGCTGTATAGAGGATGCTGCCATCCACAGGACTCCTACTTGGCTCCTTTTGAATATATGTGAGAAATGCGAAGCTGCTTTATTTCTCTCTCTGTATGAACTTCAGCAGGATGGTTAACAGGTAGAGAACATTAAAAATATAAATGCGAAGGAGACAGGAGATGGGCTGATTAGAAGGAGCCTGAGACAGGGAGCAATGTAGAAAAAATTATGAAGGAAAACAGGACAGAGCGAATAGCTCCAAGTGGAAGCTGAGACTGATCGGAGTTTTGGGGAAGAAGAAAGGATAGTCTCATTGCTGGCCTGGAACACCAGACTCTATCCTGCTTTTTCTGTAGAGTCCATCCATTTTCACAAAGGGTCAACCACTCGTCATGTAGAACTGCTCTATTCCCACAGCTCCAAGCAAATTCAATGAGTATTTGGCTTTGAACATATGGAGTTCTACAATGTGAAGAACTGTGTCAAATCGAGTCCTATAAGTCTCAAATTGAGCAATCAAAATTACATACTTAAGTCTTCTGGCTTTAAAATGGGGATAATGTCAACCCTGACTTACTTCAGTATAGATGAAAATAAACAAATTCATTTTATATCCAAGATAAATTAATCAGGAGAGATTCCAGTGCAATGGTAGTGGCAAATAAGTGAGTGAATTAGTAGTCACATCCTGAGTGCACAGTCTGAGAAAAGTGCAGTGAATGGCAAACAGGGCCACACATGGGATAAGGAGGAAAACAGATGAAATTCATTAGTTGTTTTTGCAATGATTACTATCTTCCCTGTGCAATGAATTACTTTGTTATTCTATGGAAAAATATGTGATCAGAAAATGAAGGATTGCCTTGTACTGAATATGCAAAAGAGCTGAGTTAAGTCAGTCTGCTTAAAATTCAGGCATTTCCTAACTTTTGAATTCACTTAAAAGAGTTTTTATGTGTTCAACGGATATTATAACTGCTAAATAAATAATTTATGCTAAATTCTAAGTATATAATAGATGCTAAACCTAAAAATATAACTTTAAATGTGACTTAGTCTTGTTTTCTTTGCTTAGGAAAAAGTTGAAATAGGCAGAGAGAATGGCAGGAGATAGGAGTGGAGTCTCAGTTTTAAGTGCTTTTTATTTCTTCCTGGTCTCTATTAGGTAGGCTTGACTGCAGATGCTTGAGAAAGGCAGAGAAGATGGGGTAATTCAGGAATACTTTCCTAACAGAAATGGCCACTTTATAAAGGGTTAGAGCAGCAAAGTATGTGCTTAAAGTATTATTCATGCTGCACCAAGAGTCTTGTCTGTGTTTAGTTTATGTAATTACATTTCCTCAAACATCTACCACCCATCCCAACCCAAAATTCAGGTCCAAATATGAGTTTCTCTGGAGTTATATGACTGTGTTTTACTCTGCTTATACTTATGTTTTCCCTGATCTCATTTACATCCCTTCTCCTTGCATATCACATAGCCTTCTAGCAGCAGATACCAGCACGATCTAAACTGGTAAGTTTCAAAACATTATTTTGGATGGGGTGGGAATTAAATTGTAAATTTTGTACCTATTATCTAGTGACTAGAGTATCTTAGACTAGAGAGCTATCTTACTTCAGCAGCTTTCTCATGCATGCTTTCTTGTCTTTCCCATGCTTTATGGTTTGTTTTTTTTCATCAGGGTATGTACTGAACTCAAGAAATGCTATTTAAGGAACTCAAGTATGGTAAAGACAGAATACTGAGTAGCATGGCAGCATAAGCTATCCATTCATAATCTCCCTACCCAATTTTTCCTTGTTACTTGCGAACATCTTTCCATGTTAACCATAGTACCAGGAGTACCACTATCTCAAAGAACTAAAACATGCTATAGTTCTTCCACATACAATTGCAGTCCAGCATATGGTGCAGGAAGACAGATCAAAGCTAAGTCTCATGGTTCTCTGACTTTCATTGTCACTCCAAAAAAACTGAAAGGAATTGTAAAGAATGCATTTTAAGTAGGGGAATAACTAAGTAAACACTAAAAAATGTAGTCAAATGAGAAAATGCATTAAGCTGGTAACAGTGATACAAACCTGGGGAAAATTATGCAAGCAGTAGGGATAAACAAATGGTTTTCCCTCCGATCTATGTCTGAGAAACTACAGTACTTTAGTGGTTGTGTAATCAGAAATATTTCATCAGTCTCATCACATGAGAATTTTCTGTTTTAACTATCAAATTCAATCATTCAGAAAAAAACCTGAGTAGGAATTCAAACATTTAGATGAAATTCCAGGAGTTCTGAGTTTTGCCCATCCTTATCACCTAATGAATACACAAAAGGAAATACTATGTCAACAGATATATGTATAGACCCAACCTATATGGAATTTCTAGAGACTTCCACACATGTTCCAAGCAGGATCAGTCCCTTCTGCAGCAGCTCTCCAGACAGCCTTTCTAATTTCTGATACAATTATATACAATTTGTGGTCACATACATATTTATAAAGAAAACATTTGTTCTTTATATCTTACTTGAGTTCTTGTGAGCTTGTGGCCAGCATACTTCGAATGCTTTTGTCAGCCAAGGGACAGCCAGATAAACTGTAAGACATGGTAGGACATACAAGTAAGTTAATCTTCTTATTAACTGAATACTCCCAAACAAACACAACATAAAAATTAAAAAGTAAAAGTTTGTAATGCAGAAAAGCGATGGGGCAAGTGCTGTAATACTGAATTCTGTAATATAGTTAACCCTCTGAATATATTTAGGTATCAACATTACTTCCAAAGTTACATACTGTAAAGGTTCTTTTTTGTTTGTTTGTTTCTCTATGAACTAGTAAAATGTAACAAAAAATATTTGAGATTCCTGGGTTAACTACTTAAATGCTTAAGAATACTTCGGAAATTTTAGTAATCTATTTAAAAATAAAAGACGTTTATACAACACACAAATTAGCATGCTTTTAAGGTCAACATATATTACTCAAAGGGTTAACACATAGTTCAACGTTTTACTTTGACAGCATTGTTGAGGTAAGCTGAAAACAATAAATTGAAAAGACAGAATCCACCATGAAAAAAATGAAGTCACACCTTCTATGTGAGGCGTAATTACCAGTCACATGACCACTCCCATCACACCCTGGTGTTGGACATCTGCCACCAAACAAAAAGAAAAACAGCCAAAATAGTAAGTATGTTTAAAAAAAAACTTTTAAATGTTTCATTGTTTCCAGTTTAGCTGCAATGACTGCAAGGGGTTTTAAGCATCCTAATCGAAAAGCTGCAAAATGAACAGGTTTAAATGAAAATGGCGTCTCAATACAATATAGCATCAATAAGAACAAGCAAATACACGTTAGCTTATCACTTTACTTAACTGGCAGTTTGAAACATTTATATGCTGCAAATGTTGCATGCTCATACTGCAAGGCGTATATGTACTCGTTTGTTTAAAAAAAGACAAAGAGTTAAAAGGTTAAAAGGAGAAAAATAATTTCACCTCACATTATGCTTACGTTATTAAATCCTTTTTGCTCTCTTTGCATTGAGGGTATTTGGGTTTAGGGCTTGGGATTGTAACTTCACCGGGATACCTTCTTTCTTCAAGTGCCTCTTGGAAAGGATCCAAATCTTCTGACTACAGGCAAACAGATAAGGATCAGTTTCAGCCAGGTGCTCTTACAACTTACAGAAAGTAATGCAAAGCAGAGTCACCAGATATTATCTCCTTTTTTACCCTATTCTGACAGAGAAAATGAATGAAATTATTTTATATTCCTTCACTTATTAAAAATTTAAATAATATTTGGATATTTTTATGAAGACCTCACAATATATGGAATATATAAGTTATTTAATTAGTAAAGAAAAGAAAGGGCAAAACACAGATTTTCCTATAGCTGTCATATTGTTTTGCTTTACAAGAATCAGTATTTTTTTCTAAAGTCACCACAAAACAGAGGCAAGGGAAAAAAGATGACTCAATACAGTATTTTGTGTATCAAAAAGCCATCTTAAATAACATTTTAACCATTTAGAACATCTTAAAGATGAAACAGGAGTGATCTCAACATCTATACAAAGACTCTCAATCTGGGGCAAACCTCAATGGATCTGTATGGCAAAATATAATTATGTCATTTGTAATCAACTTTACTGATGCATCTGAAATTCGAAATCATCTATTTCAGGAATAAAGTGGACAAATGCACTGATTTAGCGATTCCTGCAAATGGTGCTATGAACACCACAGCAGAAACAGGGAGTTCTGCTTACTCTGAAAAAAACCTGCTATATTGTCTGTTTTACCTCACATTTCCTTAATAATAACAAATTTCCTCCTAACTGGAGTGAAATAAATAGCAAAACTGTAATTAACAACATAGTCAGAATGCATTCAGTGTATTAGTGAAAATGCCACTTTGTTTTGTGTTTCAAAGTTACTGAAAATAGTTTTATGTTTTAATTAAAATTAGCATGCGATGTGCTACACAAAAATGATTAGCCTCATTTTCTGTTATAAACCAAGAAAAAACAGAGACTAATCTCTAGAATTCTCCAAATGGCTAATTTGCATTGAGTATAGCACTGTAAACTACACAGTGGATAAGGTGTTGAACAAAAGCAGTGACATTCGTCTACTTGTCAGTAGACCTCTTCAGTGTCCTGGCTGTCCTAAGTTTTGAAAAGTAAAATAAATTCACTAACATATTTTCTTTATGTGCCTTCCCTGTTTAAAGGGTTTTGCTGTCGTCTTGGTATTATGAATCGAAAAGTAATACTTATTTCTAATAACCTTTCTTTGTATTCTTGAAACAAAGTATTTCATTAATATAGGCCCTTTCACACACACATGCACAGATATAAGGAGTGTGTGTAAGTAATCCAGAAGATTAGCTGAAATAGTTGAAAGCTTACATTATACTCTGCTGCTTTTGTTTAAATTGATTTGTAAGTAATGCATGCTTTCAAATAGCACATCATTTATGGTTTTCAAATTCGAGATAATATCTTGTCTTGAGAGCTGATTATCCTAGTATTGCACAGTTATCTCAACTTGCTTATACAGAGTAAAGTAATCTGGATACAGGGAAACATCTTTTCTGCAGAAAATATTTGTTAACTAGATGATGCTGTTAGAAAACATGATTCACATTCATGGTCCAAATGTTGTTTTATGGAAGTTAGTCACAGATTAGATGTGTGCCAGCATGACAATAGTCCTAAAGATTAACAACCAGAAAGTCCTTTTTGTAGAAAACCATCATTTTTATCACATACTAGTTTTGTTTCGTCTTTCCCTCTAAATTTCAGAAATTTCATTAATTACCAAAATTAGATTGCAATGAAGACTAACAGATGAAAAAGACATACATTAATCTCTTTGGAATCATCTTCATCTATCCTACTGGGCTTCATTTTAGTGTAGTCCACTGGCAAGTCCCAGCAGTCACCCTCGTTCAGTTGGTAACACCGGTTATTCATCACGGCTTGCCGCTGCGGGGACATTGGCTCTAGTGGTGTCAAAATGGTACAGCAACCATCTCGCTGCCTCTGCTTGTTCATGCTCAGATCCAACGTCCCATTTTCATCAACTTCCATATCAGGATTCTGTCAAAATAAGAGGAATATTGTCAATTCAGCTTCACACTAGCAAACTGTTACCTTTCTGTGTTCTTCAATCTGATTGCCTCGCAGAATGATAAAACACTTTTCCATTCCTGTATAGATTGTAAGCATTGAGCCCCCTCCCACACATAGCATGATGCTGTTACACAACATTAATGCTGTTACAGTAGATTTCTTCCTGAATGGCTAATCTGATGTTTGGAGGAAGAGGGGAAAGCCTTCATTACCCCTCCCGCCAGTCGGCACACAGGTGCAAAATTTGGAATGAAAAGGAGAAATCTCTAAAGGTATTTTCTTGTCATTGTCTTTATGCTCTTGATTTATTCTGTGACAGGTGAGTATCTATGAGGTAGCATCTGCATATTCTTGTTTCTAGCCTTGACTCCTGTTTAGATGATTAGAGTATCAAAAACCAGCTAGCATCAAATAATCTTTGTTTCTTTGTTGTTTTTTTTTAACGTTAACAGTCAGTACTTGAATAGCTAAAGCCAGAAGATTAAACATGGACAGAGGGTACCAAACCAAGTCTTTTTGGACACCATTTGCCAATGAGGAAATGCACTCAAATTTCACAGTTCCTTCCCTGCAGATATAAATGTATTAACATTTTATATAACTATATTTATAATCAATAAATTTAGGCAGTGGAATAGTTGCAACAATAGTTGTGGCAAATTCTGTGGTGACTGAGGTCCTGTGAAAAATTGGATGAGTATGGGCTCTGACTTTTTTAGAAACAAAAAAGGGTGTTTATTATCACAGAATCACAGAATCATTATATTAGGTAAGTATAAATAAGGTATCTTAAAATGAAGAAATTTTGTTTAAAAATAAGGACAGAAAAAATAAAAATGCTCACAGAGGATCCTTCACCCTTACAAAAATGAAACACTCACTCCACAAGAAATTTGGTTTCAAAACTAATGTGAATGCGACTGACTCCTCATATGTCTGACGACTTTCTCTCCTTGAGAGTAACAGAAGAGCTGTGGAAAAGCACTGTGAATGCAAATCTTTCTGAATTACTGCTTTTTGTCAGAGTGGATATCTAATTGCTGCTATCCTGCTAATTTAATTTAGAAATTAGTTGTTTATCTTCTCAGAATAATTCCTGCAGTCTCAATATAGGGCAACACATTAAGAAAGAGGCCTCTTCTGGTTATGACATAGAAGATTTTTAGGATTGTATTCCAACTTTTCCATCATGCTGATATAGAGAACAACTGCATGCCAAAACAAGATTTCCCTCTTGAAGAGCATTAAATAAATTAATACAAAAACCAGCATTTGAAAACAAAGTCACCAGCCATTCTGGCTTAAATCACTATTATTACAAACACCTATTGCTACAGGTTTAGTTTGTTCTGAATGATCAAGGGGCTTTACACAATGAGGGGATGAAAACCTTTGTCTATATGTAGAAGAACAGAACATGTCTGCCAGCTCAAAAGCTCTGCTATAAGCACAATGAAAATGATTCCTCTGCACTGCATCTCTCTACTTAGCCATCTAGTGGTCTCCTATAGGTATCACCGTGCTGTTTGCTGCTGCGTGTTAAATACTCATTTCTTAACAGCTATCAGAGTCAAAATTTAATGTTTATAACAAAAAAACCCGCCTTTAGTTAAATCTTTAATGAATGTTAATATTGCACTGTTTTTCTTAATATATAAAGCTTAACAACAAGTCTTTATTTTTATCTGTATAACCATTTCATAATATATTGAGTCTCTGTGAACATACAGAACATCAGTGACCCTCACTACTGTTAGACACGCACATTTAAAGTCACCTGTACTGGAGGATTTGCTCATTTCAAACATATTATCAATGACTTTATAACTGTGGTATCACAGACAGGCAAGGAATTATAACATACAAGTAGCACAAATTTATTTGTACTAGATCTTACAACCTTAAGTCTCATTTCCGACTTTTAAATGAAAGTGCATCGTTAAATTTTAATCCTTCCACAAAATGTATGAAACAGTGTTTAGCAAAAAAATCAGTAGTGCAATTAATACCACTTGAACAATCTAAACATCTTTTATAATTATAGATCTCACTAGTAAGAAACAAATTAAAAAAAGAGCGAGTACATACTATCAGTATCATCAGTTTATATACCCATTGGGATTTCTCAAGATAATCGTGAGGAATTTGCAGCTTCTTCTCTTTGTCTCCCTGTTTTAGCAGAGCCACCAGATTATGTTAATTTTGAGGAAAACGAAAAAACAAAAAAGCAAAATGTACTAAAGCTATTATTCTATCAGGGCCACAGAGCAAGTGCAGTAAAGAGAAATCTTCATCAACAAACATAAGTACTAATTTTTACCCTCGCACAGAGATCCTGAGGCTTAGTGGAGAGGTTCTGAGGCATCTCCCTGCAGCGAGTGGAGAGATTCAGAATAGCAGTAGCAGCCATGTGCGCTGCCTCCATGTCATGGGTATAGTCAAAGCTGCTCTTGCTGCAGGTACTGCTGGCACTGCTGCCTCCACCACAACTCATATTGCTGCTGCTGCTAGGGGCATAACTGCTTGTTGTGCTGCTGGTTGGACTCGAATTCTTACAGTAGCGTTTAGCTGTGGGAAGAAATATGACAAGGATGACTCAAAAGAACAAGCATTCTGCATAAGTAAAGAGAAAAACAAACTGCTGGAGGTGAAATTTATAATGAGCAACAGTAACTGATGCAAAAAAAAAAAAGCCCGCAATAAGAATGATGGCTGTATTTCTTGATTTCTGCCTGTGACTTTTATATGCTACATATGTGAGTCTGTATGAAATAACCTCCTGCAAAAATCTGCATGATGTGATCATGAATCGTTATGACAAACAGGCTGGATTTAGAAAACAATAAAAACACAGAAACACTGCTTTTACCCCACATATATAGTCAGACAGAAGGTAGAATCTGCTCAGCTCATTTGTTTTTATTAATGAGGGTCAACATAACCCTACGGAACCTTTTCATATTCATATGAGCAAAATGTTAATTTAAGGCCTAGACTCCCCAGAGCTCCTGGAGATCAAGCCGACCCTAAGGCTGACGGGCCTGGTCTCTGGGCCACACTGTTGTCCTTAAACCTGTATGTCCTCAAACACCTGATGCTTCCTAAAAGGTTTCTTATTCCTACATCACAGGCAAATATTATGACACTGGCCATCAAAAATCAGAGGAACACGATGGAAGAAGAGAGGTGATAGTCACATGTGAGTTTTACCATGGCTTGCACAAAGGCAGAAGCAGTGGCTGTATAAACAGAAACAGATATAAGTAAAATGTCCCCACCTTCAAGTAACCTGAGCACCTACAACTCTTCATAAAAACAGTAAGGACCAAAGACACCCCCTCCTGCTCACGCCGAGGACAGTGGCACTCAGCCACACTCTGACAGACAGAAGCCACCAGCAGTCACAGAAGAGCGAAGGCACTGACAAAGCTCACATCCAGGCTATCTAAATACAGTGCAGCACTGCTGCTGCTTTTAAGAAATGCTCCTTGCAGCCAAAAGCATTACAGTTATAATGCAAAGATGTCCAATTAGCCCAGTTATTTCTCCAACCCTCTTCCCAAATAAACTGTTTTCAAAGTGTCAGCTCATCTCCTAAATCTAAAAGTTTATGTATTTTCATAAAAAATGAAAGCCAAGGTCAGAGGATACATACATGCATATTACAGCGACTACTTCCCCTTAAGATGGAAATGCATACTGCAGAGATCGTACCATATAGCACAGTATAACAATAACCAACTAGTATGCTGATTAGAGAGCTATACAAAAAAGGTCAGGCCCTAGCTAGAGCTCCTCCATGATGGGCTCCATTTAAATGCCAGACTCTTCAGGTGTATTTGTCTGAGCAGACATACATATAATAATCTGCTCCCATGAGCGCAGCCCATTTGTGAACCACAGGCTGCTTTGGTAGGCAGGCAGGGTTCAAAAGAAGAATCTGAAAGCAAAGTATCTCTGTTAGAGCTTATGTCATCCTCCTTTCTCTAAAAAAATGAAAAAAACATGGCGTTATTTTTACTGTAAAGGAAATAGTGTTTCACTTAATTCATAACAGATGGAGTTTTCTCAGGAAAGTCACATAATGCACAGGGTGTGATTTTTTTTGAGTGAAGTGAATACTAAACATTCATCACATTTCTTTGTTTTGAACACATAGTAGCACTACTCTAGTAGGGTATCCACTAATAATAAACGTGTATTTCTTGAGAGTTTCATTATTAATATAATAATCAGTGGCGGTCAGTAAAAATTCAGCATTTATGCATTGTTACTTTGTAATGGTATCCAAGACACACAAGAATTTTCCTATACTTAAGGAAGGAAATAATTGAATAAATCAGTTTCTACTGTGCTAACACAGCAAGCACTCTGCACTACTGAACTTGTCAAATCAGAAATATCTTTCAAAATTCATATGAACAAATAAGGCTTCTGTCACTTGCACAAAATGTTAGTCTTGTTATAGCAGGTCACATTTAGACAGACATAAGAGACATACTACATGGGAAATTATATATATGAGAATGTGTATTA